TCGTGTCCAGTAAAATTAGTCTTGACAAGTTCAAAAGTTTTCTCACCAGTAATTACCATGACAAATAATCTGAGACTAGTATCAGAAAGACTACTGTCATCAGTAATTACAAATCAGTGATTTCAATAACATTGCTAATATTTTTTGAGTGGCTAATGTATGCCAGGTAATTGCAATCATTTAAAATATATTAAAAACCACAGCATAAATGAGATTACTTCTATGGCTTGGATTCAAAGGTGGTATAATATGCAAGTGATTATAAAACCTTTAATTTTGTATGCTATTTGCTGATGTGACATTGAAAAATACAAATTCAGAATTGTGGAGGATTGTAAAAATGGATATAAATAGTAGGATGGATTTTTATTTGGGAGAACACAACCATAGCGATTTAATTTAATTTTCTTTAAAAATGATTTATTTATAAAATTGTATTATTTATACAAGTAGATTAAATTAAGTTGTATTATTTAAACAAATAAATTATTATGATTTAATAATTAGTAATAATTTATTAAATTGTATTATTCACATTGTATTATATTTATAATTGTTATTATAAATTGTATTATTATTTATATTATACATAGCTCAGGAAATATGGTTATGATAGTGCTAACGTATATAGGATTTCTGTATAAAATTACTCTATCACCACCAAAGTCATGATCTCCTTCAACTCTCCTTATGTCACCTATGATATTATCATCATTTTCCTAGCCACTACCCCCATTATTAATGTTTTGTAATCCAAGGCCAAGGGTTGCCATTGTTTGATATTGTCTATTAGCTTGCATTTTTCTCTCTAATTTATAGGTAGGTGAGATCATCCAGTATTTGTTCTTCTCTTACCAACGAAATTTTGCTGAACATGATACCCTTCAGTTCCATCCAAGTTACCATGAAATGCATTATTTTACATTTTCTTATAGCTGCATATTATAGCAACTTTAAATGAAAAAGTATGATTATTTTTATTTATAGAAGACATGATTATGCACAGAGAAAATAAAAAATAATTTTCAAACAACTAGAATAAATAAATAAATTCATATGTCCTGATAGGAAGCAAATAAAAAACTAAAACAGAAAAAATATATTTACTGTAGTTTTTAAAACCCAAATCACCCATGGAACCCAATAATGTCCTTTGAGTCTGCCAGAAGTGATTTCTGAGTGCATAGTCAGGAGTAAACACTGAACGCAGCTGGTATTTGGTCCCAAATGTATTAAAAAAAAACATAGCATACTGGTATACACGTAGTGAAAGAATATCAGATATAATTATACAAAAATTATGACCAGTTAACACTGTCCTCCCGTTGTTCATCGATTTGCTCAAGCTGGCCCAGTAATGTCTCCATTTTGAGACTTGTTGTTATTGTGTTTGGCATATTGAATACGTCAGGGGAAGCTTGCCAGGCTTTGCCGTGCGGGCGAGATACTCTCGGTAGCTTGCCGGGCAAGTTAATACCACTAATAAAAATACACCATGATAATGCATTAAAAGTTTCAATATTATTAAGATGGCAATTATATTTCAATTTATCTCTAATGAATGAATGAACATTACTAGAAGCAGCAGTGTTTATGACCCCAGAGGAAACAGCAGAGGCGAAGGCCCTGGTTAGTGATCCCCTTGGCAGAGGTGTTGAAGAGTGAAAAGGTAGGTGAAAATTTATCCAGACCTATGGACTAGAGATCTTATTGCTCTTCATTGGCTCCAGGTCCTATGAGGAAAGACATTTGCGACTAGGAGGAGGGAAAGTAAAAGACTAAGATATACAGAAGGAACTTTCTGATTACTATTTTGTCTGGAGTCAGCAAAATGGTTGACCAAAAAATATTTGGGCTGTAGGCACACCAAATTCCAAAGGCAAAGCGCACAACTATTCTGTTTTGTTGCAACCCTCTTCTTTCTTGGAATATGCTTCCAAATATAGCCAGGGGCCATTTCTGGAAAGACGAAGCAAAAACTTGAGGTACTGTGCCAATTTTGGGGATAAGAAAAGATCTCTAGTTGTCAACTTGTTGAACTGATGGAATAAAAATCAACAAAACTTTACCTAAATAGAAAAATTGTTCATTGCTTCAAATATAGTAGCAGTTGCAGATCTCACCAACACCATGAAAAATCATGCTAGAGTATCAGCAAAAGAAAATGACAGTTCCACAGCAACCAAACTCAAAGTCATCGAAGATCACAATCTAAACAGTCAGAGAATTAAGGAGTTATGAAGAAATCTGGCAAGTTACAAAGAAAACAAATAAAAACAAAAACTTTTCAAAAAGGCAATTTGATGAAATTAGAAATTAAGCTAATAAGTTTATGGGAATAAATTGTACTCTCAAAATGAACCAAATAGAACCTCTGAAGATATAGCAGTCAATAAATGAGATAAAAAATTAATTGACATGTATTGGAAATGGATTATATTCAATGGAAGACACAACAAATAGTCCAGAAGACAGAAATCTAGAAATGATTCAGGTGGAAAAAGAATCAGAACAAAGATTTATTTTTAAGAGCTTTACAATATTAATCAAACTCCATTAGGAGAGACTAACGAAGAATAATAGGGATATCAAAAGGAGAAGAGAAGGGATTGGAGAGTTATTCAAAGAAATAGTGAAATAGTGAGAATATCTCAATACTGGAAAAGTCCCTGAAGCTAACAGATCTTATGATCTCATTGTAAACAGTCTCTTTCAGAGATACATTATAAGGAAGCCATTAAAAGTCAAAATTGAAAACTCAGATGATTGACTATTTGAGAAGACCTAAATAAAAAAAATACACTAGCAGTTGACATCGACAGTATGCCAGTTATCTTCCCTAACTGCAGAAAACACAGCTACATGGAAGCCATTCCATGTTCATGGATCAGAGTAATTCATATGTTTAAAATGTTCAGACTAGCCAAAGCTCTTTATGGACGAGTGAAATTCCCATCAAAATATCGAACACATTCTTCTAACAATGAGAAAAATAATCATAAAATTTATGTGGAATGACAGAAGACCTCAAGTATCCAAAGTATGCATAAGAATAAAAGGACAATACTGAATCATGTTTCCTTATTTCAAACTCTACTACAATGGTAGAAGACCAAAAAATACAAAAATGGGTGTAAGAAAGGGCACATAGGTCTATGGAACAGAACAGAAAACCCAGAATATGAAACAGAATTGAAAACCCAGAATTAAATTCTGACATGAATGGCCAACTCAAAAATGGAGAAAAGAAAACTCAACAGGGTAAAGAGAGTCTCTTCAACAAATGTAAAACATGGATATTTCACACCACTAATAGAAGTTGTTCAAAATGGATCAAAGACTTAAACATAAGATCTGATAACAAAAATTTTTTTAAATTTAGTTTTTGGGGTATACCTTACAGTGTTCATTCATTACTAATGACTCTGTACTTGGGAATGACCCTGGGGAGAGCTTGGGTACCATGTTGGATGCTATGGATTACACCTGATTTGGCCACATGTGAGAAAAGTGCTCTATCCATTGTACTATAGCTCCAGTTCCATGTAACCATCATTTTTTTAGAAGAAGGCATGAGAAAAAGTCATAAGAAAAAAGCAATATGATATTAATCTTGGCAATATTTTTTTTTGGAAATAATACAAGAAGCACAAAGAAAGTAAATATCAGCAAATGAGACTTTTGTAATATAAAACAGTCACACACATTTAATGTTACAGTTTATTGAACATCATCTACAATGTGTGATAAGTATATAACATAATGTATTACTTTAAGAAACATTATAATATATTAATATATCAAAGTATTATGCTGGATACATTAAATTTACACAATTCTACTTTTCAAACTTATCCAATAAAATCAATGAAATGAAATCCAATGTAATTGAACTTAATATATCTTCACTGTTTGGATGAATTTTAGAAATAAATAATATGGCTTATAGTGGTAATATCAAAACCTTAATAAATTTTTGGAGGCTAGTCTTTAGATTCAAAGTCAGGAAAATAGTTATACTAGTTTAGATAGTCTCTTGTTACTACAATAAGGAAAAAAATTCATCAGTCAGCCGAAAAAATTTGCAGATCTCTCTCTTACACACATATATACACTCTTTCTCACTCAACTTGCATTAATTAAAAATGTAATTCAACATTAAAATTAAAATATGATCAACAATGAACACTGAAGTAACTATATGTAGTATATAAAATATGAGACTAGGTCTTAAAATAATAATGCTCTAGAAGAAAGCATAAAGGAATCCACGCTTAGTATAATAGCCAGGATGTGGAAACAACTCAAATGCCCAACAAAAGATGAATGGATAAACAAGCTGTGGTCTATTTACACAATTTTTTAATGCAGTTGTAAGAAAAGATCTTTTAGTTTGCTGCAATTTTTTATATAAATCTAGTTCTCATTGGCCATTGATTAATAAATAATACTGTATCCACATTTTGCCTTTGAGATCTAAGGGTGATAATGCTTTCCCGAAAATTTTAGTATGATGTGTATTCCCAAAAGTTTATGCATTCATACTTACATTTATAACCCATTTTTGTGTTTATTTCCTCTAAAACCTTCCAAATGACCATGCATTTCCAGAACATACTTCAGACATCTTATACTTAACAAATGTCAATTGCAGTGTGCCTGTTAGTTTTCTCTTTAAAGAGAAATCCCTGAGCAAAAATGATATAAGAATAAGTTCCCCCAGAACATAAAGAGTATACAGATTGTTTGACCATTAAAATTTTATTTGATTTTGGGGGGTAGGGAAGTAGGGGCCACACCCAGTGGTGTTCAGTGGTGTTAGGGACCACCACTTCTGGTATTATTCTGGGGATCGAATCAGCTTCAATTACAAGCAAAGAAACTATCCCTCCAGCCCTACCCCATTTTCCCAAGTTCAGTTTCCATATTGGATGACAGAAATCCAAGTGGTATGGGGGAGTTTCATGATCTGGAAACAAACCCTAGTTTGGACCCCCCACCTAGTTGTTTTGGGAGACGGAATTCTTTGTCAGAATCTTCCCCAAGGTCCCCTTCATCTCATTGTTCCTCAGAGTATAGATGAGAGGGTTGAGCAGCGGGGTTCCCAGCGTATACACCAATGAGATGAACTGATCTTGCTTGGGGTTATAATTGGAGTTGGGGCGCAGGTACATGAAAGCACAGCAGCCGTACTGCAGCAGGACCACCATGAGGTGGGAGGAACAGGTAGAGAAGGCCCGGTGGCGGCCGGCTGCTGAGTTGATCTTGAGCACAGCGTTCACGATGAAGGCATAGGAGGTGGCAATGAGGAAGAAGGGCACGGCGATGGCTAGAGTGGCTGCCACCAGCACCGAGAGCTCATGGAAGTGGCTGTTGGCACAGACCAGGCGCATCACCGGTGGCACGTCGCAGAAGAAGTGCTGGATCCCTCGAGCCTGGCAAAATGGTAGAGAGAAGATGAAGGCCACCAGCTGTAAGGACAGAAAAAGGCCAATGACCACCGAGGCCACCACCAAGCGGACACAGAGCGTTAAGGTCATGATGAGAGGGTACTGCAAGGGGTGGCAAATGGCAGCGTACCGGTCGTAGGCCATCGCTGCCAAGAGGAAGCAGTCGGCACTGCCAAGTCCAATGAAGAAAATCATCTGAGTGGCACAGGCCAGTAAGCCGATGGTCTTCTCTGACTGTAGGATGTTGGTCATGATGTGAGGCACCACCACAGCCGTGTAGCATATTTCCACCCCCGAGAGGCTGCCCAGGAAGTAGTACATGGGCGTGTGCAGGCGAGCTTCTGTCCAGATGGCCACCACGATGAGGACATTGCCAGTGATGACAAACATATAAACCAGGGTGACTCCTAGGAAAGATAAGACACACAGCTCTCGGTTGGAGGGGTAGGACAGGAACACAAATTCCAGCCACAGCGAACGGTTCTCCCAGGTCATTGGTTCAATAGCTGGTCTCTGTTGAGAGTTATAGACAGAAGGAAGAATCAGATCGACAGGTTCTGGCTCACACTCATGAATCAAATGTAATCAGAACTGAAGTTAGAAAGCAGAAAGATCAGGAAGGATTCATTATTTGAGATGAGCTTTGGCCAAGTCTCTACAATACGAATCTCACAATATCTCATCTAAGAATTGAGCCAAATTACTTAAGAAATGACAGATCATAAGAGGCTGAAGGAGTTGGTGCCATTCAGAAATTATTTTTCAGAAGTGGAATTAAAATTAACTCCTCAGTGAGTTCACAAGAAATTATCAAGAAATTTTTGGAATTCTTGGGAGCCGGGTCATTTAGATAAAATTTAAAAGTTATTTAAATTTATTCTTCTTTCTTTTCTTCTCTTTCTTTTTTACTGACTCGCCACTTTTCTTTCTTTCATTTCATATTTTTGCAGAATGGTTTCTTGTGTATTAAAAATATATGCAAAACTGAAGGGATAGTAATGCGATTTAAATTGAAGAGAAAAGCAGCATCCCAAAGCACAGAATTTATAAGGACCTAAAATTGATTATATACATATATATTTTTTTTAAAAGACTCAGAAACAAAGTCCATCAAATTCCTGGTTTCTCTATCCATATTTGATTAGGGTAATATGGATTTTGACCATCAGGGCTCCTGCTGACTTTGGGAGACTTGAGATGATGTGATCATAAGCTGAAAGAGGTCTGAAAACACTTCCTGTGAGTTTGAGGATTATTCAAAAAGACCAAGCTAGTTCATTTATTTTCCTCCTCTTCTAAGGTGCTCAAGTGACATCCTGCAAGGCACATAGATTCCTTGAAAGCCTTCTAATGAATAGACACACGCTCGACAGGACCCATTCCACTTCTATGATGAGATCATCTTAGCTTCAAGAAGCTGGAAAAGAGGCTGCAATGACCTTGTTTAACTTGTTTAATTCTAAAATTTATTCTTCAACATGCTCCTTGAAAATAAATCTCTCTATAAAAAAGCAACACTTCTAAAAAATCACTCACAGAAACCCACTTCAAGCTTAGGGAGAAACATGATTAGATGTTAAGAACAAAATGTCACAAAGTTTAAGAACACTGAGGACAAGTTGTAGCCATCTGCTATCTTTCCAATAGCTAACAAGTGATGTCCATTTTCTCACTGTTTTTTTCTCTTCGATCTTTCTTTTTTTAAATTTTTTTATTGAATCACTGTGAGATACAGTTACAAAGCTTTCAGGATTGACTTTCAGTCATACAATGATATCTCTGCACTTTCAATTATGCTTTGAATTATTTGTAATGTCACTTAGCATAGTCAGCATCTCATAACACACCGAGGTACAGCATAACACAGTGAAATCAGTTTTTGAAAGAAAATGATATGATTTGAATAATCCCACCTCCTGATTCTGTGAAGGTAGTTAGAAAATATGAAATATCTGAATCACAGGTTTTTTATTTATTTTTTTATTAATAAATAGGGATGATAATTATACTTCAGAAATGGAATTAAGGGTTGTTGTGAGGTTTAAATGAAATCAAAATTTAAAATACCTTTTCTAAAATGTAAAATGTCTTCCCTAAAATATAACTCCTAATCCAATGTAAAACATACAAATATTACTTTCAAGCTTTTATTACTTGGAAGTTTAGAGGAACCAATCCTTCCTTATAGTATTGAACAGATAGTACAGAGGTTGAGGTGTTTGTCTTGCATGCAGCTGACCTAGTTTGATCTCCAGCAGCACTTAGGGTTTTCCTAGTACCCACACAGATAACCTCTGAGCACAGATCCAGGAGTTAGTCACTTTCTCTCTTTTCACAAGACAGACTATCCTTCAATATTCCTTTTCTATTTCAGGATACGGAGGGGTCTTGGAAGTGGACTATCAGATGGCAATGCTTAGGAGGCCATGTTGCTAGGGATATAATCTGGGATCCTGTGTGTACCAGACATGTACTCCAGTCTTTTCTTTATACTCTTTAAAAAATGAGTTCCTCTTATTTAAGAGAATGCTTAAAAATATGTGACTTTATACCTTGATTATTCCTGCTGAAGTCACTTGCTTATTTTTAATTAAGTTCTAAGCACTGTATACAATGAAAATCTTTATACCCTAATGGTTATATATACTAATGAGAGAGATGATATTAATTAAAAATCTGACTGTATATTTGTTATGAAGTATATGGATACATATTATAAAACTGTAATTAAAATTGTATATCATGACCCGGGTCAATTCCTCCACCCCTCTTGGAGAGCCTGGCAAGCTACTGAGAGTATCTTGCTTGCACGGCGAAGACTGGCAAGCTACTCATGATGTATTCGATATGCCAAACACAGAAACAACAAGTCTCACAATGGAGATGTTACTGGGCCCACTTGAGCAAATCGATGAACAACGGGAGGACAGTGACAGTGACAGGGGCTTTCCCATAGTTTGTGATTTTAAGATTCTCAGAAAAAAAATTAGCAGGAGAAGTAATTTTTTTTTTGAATCTATGTGAGATGGACTCTTACAAAGCTGTTTATGATTAGGTTCAGTCATATAGTGTTCAGGAAATAAATTTTAACCTTTTATCTGAACCTGAAAATTTATCACAAAATGAAAGGTAGTGAGGTAATAGATAAAATAATGGTTCAGCTAAAATGAAATTCATTATAGCAGCATATCATCAACTTGTGATTCTAAGTTGTCAATATATGCGCAGTACATATGAAAGGTGAAAAAACATATTAGCATAAATACCTAGAAGTCAGTCTCTCATTTCCTGAAACCACACCCATCTCATTGTTTTTAAGTTAAACCCCACAGCCTTATTTTCTTACCTCTCCAATCAGCCCAGACCCACTTGGCAAAAATGGTATGAGAAACATTATTCATCCTAGAAATCCAGGGAGCCAGAGAAGCTCTCCGGATGCCTAGTTAGCGCTGAGCAAAGAAATTCATTAATGGAGTTGGCAAAGATAAGATACAAGATAGAATCTCAATTTATTATTATTATTGCACTATTATTGTAATAGCATTATCTCTTGGCAGATAAGCTCATGTTAATTTAGGTTCCTCCTGTTAAAATATGTAGTAATACTTACCTAATGGAGTTGAGATTAAGTATTTAGAAGACCTTGATGTATCAGTTCTATCGGAACAAATGTTAACTCTTCCTGTCCTTCCAATCTTTTAAGGAGATGATATCAATAATATCTTTGTTTCATAGTAAAGGATAGAATAAAGCCCTTGATTAGTAAAATATTTTTATTAATCCTTACATTTCATCCAATTGTACATTAGTTATTTCTCAGCATTTCTTAGATTGAGAGTAGTTACTATTCTACTCAGAAACATTGGGCTTCCAAGTGAATTCCAAGAGAGACACCGTATCTCATAGACTGGATTAATTCATAAATCCTGAAGTATCTATGTAGGAAGCCATCACTTACCTTTTCTAATATAGGGTCAGTGGGTTCCTTCTGTGCTGTAAATGTTGGAAGTAGAAAAAGCCTTTTGGGGTTAAGAGGGAGAGGACATGCTAAGAGGTAGATCTACCTTCAGCAAGGAAAGGGAAGAGAGAACAAGACTTCTCAGTTATCTTGATAAAAATTAAGACCTTGCAGATGCTCTACTATATAGAGACAGAGAGTTCAGGAGTCTGGAGACACTACCCAGCGGGACTGAGACTTTATAGCACCCTCCCAAGCAAAAGCCATGAAAGAAATAAATTGCTTTGCTATCTAGATGCCTCAAAGCTCCCATCTCCCAGAAGAAGACGGTACAGTTATTGAGGATCTTCTCCCCTGTTGCTGGATAATTAGTCCAAGCTAAAACGGTGAATTTAGAATCCCCTGTCAATGAAGGTCTGGTATATGTTTGACGAGATCAAAGCAAGATTTAAAAAAATAAGGTTTTCCCTCTTTACTTTATCACTATGGTTTACAAAGTTGTTCAGGATACATTTGTTATAGTCATTCAATATTCCAAGCCCAATCCCACCACCACTGTCACTTTCCACCCACCATTATCTCCATTTCCCCAACCACCCCCAAGCCTGCCCTCATAGCAGAAACAACATGGTTTATTTGATACTGCTTGTTACAGCTAAATCGACTCATGGAACTATCAAATATACTTCAGTAAAAGAAAATTTGTGAAAATTGTTAGATCTCACCATGGGGACATTAAGTCTTTGTAAAGACAAGAGTTAAACCCTTTATTAGCAGTCTCAGTGTTCCTAATGATTTTCTGAGTACACAGTTTTTCCCATGCTCTAGCATAGAGCTATCTATTTGACAGGTTCTCAAAATGTAATTTTCAAGTGTTTTGACTTTTCATGGTATACCATGTTTAATTCTCTTTAAGTAGCAGTGCTCCTGCAAGTTGTAGTAATTAGCTTCATCCATTTATATGTTGATGAATGAGTATACACACCTATATGCCCGATTTTCTTCACAAGCAACTCTTTGGCACAGATCTTGTGTGGTTAGATTTAGTGTGTGTGTGTGTGTGTGTGTGTGTGTATGTGAGAGAGAGAGCAAGAGAGACTGAGAGAAAGAGGCAGTCAGAGATAGAGACAGAGAGACAGAGGTATTTGGAGGGATAAGCTACCTCAGATGTTAAAGACATAATATTTACTAAATATATTTAGTGTCAGTAAGTGAAGGACAAAGGTAGCAGAGTAGGTAAAAAGCAGAATATACCATATACTTCTGACAAGTATTATAATAATTATAACACTTTTATTTAACTTAATGTAGTTCAATATTTGGGATATATTAACTATTTTAATTTTAACAGTGACCCTATGGAAGAGATAATATTGAGATAATATTGGTGTGTCATTTACAAGTACAATTTATTTTTTTGTTTTTTATTACTATTAACATTTCTGAAAGTAAAATATAATTCATGACAAATATGCCTCATAATTTTGCTTAGAGAACTATGAAGTTCTCATCCCTACTATGTGTAACTCCTTTCTGA